TAATCACCCTGACAATTCTGGGGGAGGAGTACAGATTTTTAAGCTCGTCATTGTGCAGTTTTCTCCATGCCCCATCGTCTTCTCTCGAGACCTCAACACCCTATTCTCAAACACCTGCAATCTGTGTTCCTCCCTCTGAGTGAGAGACCATATTTCACACACATACAAAACATTCGGCAAAATTATTGTTATTACTTTAATCTTCAGGTTCTTAGAAATCAGACAAAATATTTTGAAATGAATTTAGTATCCTCCTAACCTGCTCATGAGTATAATTTTGATTTGTTATTGTTGATCCCAAATATTTGAACTTTGTAACGCTTTCAAAGAATTTATTAGCCACGCTGATATGTTTTTGCCCGCCTGTCTGCTGACGGATGTACTTACTTTTTTCTGAATTTACTTCTAGCCTCAACTTTCTACTACTGTGCTCATGAGAACCTGAAATCTCACAGTCCAGTACTTATTTTCACGACCTATATTTTTTTTACAGACTGTAAAATTCCCACTGCATGGCCACGTCCATAAATAAAGTTCCATAAGACATCTGCTTATGATGCAGCTGTTGTACGTAATTCTCTATAAAACAGACTACAGGCTAAATATGAATGAATAATAAACCATAAAACGTGTGGGGGGAAGCGTCATGAGCTAATTAGTACTCTGCAGGAATTTTAATGAAAGGACGTAGGTAAACCACGAAAAGCTTCAGACAGGACAGCAGGTCTTCGGGTGAGATTTTAACCCGAAAACTGAGGAATACGAAGCAAATGTTCTAACCACTGGACCGCAAAGTATCGTCTACCGCCTCATCATTATTGTACGTTACTGCTACTGATGATGACAGACCTCGTAACAGCGCAATGCCCGCGTGGGTGCAACGTGATCGAGAGACGTGGAGGCTGGTGATACATCATCATTACAGAGGCGGTAATGAGACACGCCGAAATCAACTGCGAGGGGACGAGATTCACATGTCCGTAAGAAAGCAGTCGTGGTGTCGGGGTTTCTCAACGACGTGGCCGATTATCATGTAATTCAGAAGCAAGCTCATCTTGATGCTTTTATTGCGATGGCGGGCTTCTACGGTGTCATACAACCAACCAGACAAGCACTTAATCAACGAACTAACCATCCAATTAGCTAACTAAGTTCATGTGGCAGGTCTTGGTCGAAGAGCTGGCAGATGTTCAGTCGATAAAAGAAACCACTGCTTTTATGCAGCCCGAAGGGTCGTTAGCGCATAATCAAAAGTCAGCCATTGGACCGTACTCTGATACAGTTAAATTCAGTCAACATATTTTATGATACAATACGCTTTGCTCAGTCTGTAATAAACAAATTTCAGAGCGTGGGAAATTACTCCCCCCCCCTCCCACTGTTTTCATTACACACTTTTGTACAATCTCAAAAATATATAATTAATCTACGCCTCCAGCGTAGCCTTTCATAAACTAGTTCACATTTTACATTAAATTTTAAACTCTGTCCTAAGATTATTTTACATTCTATTCCTACTCTTTGCCATTAAGCAAGTTATTTCCCTTTTTTAAATGGTTCCGACGATGGTGTGTTACACTTGATATTACTACATTCTTCGACATTGTCCATCGTCTGTTATTCAAACGAAAACGACATTTCGCAAACTGGATCTGTCGCCTTCTTCAGGTGAAAAGGAAATTTGGGACCGTTAGAAAGAGCTAACCGCGGTCACTGGACTGGACTGAGACCAGTCCAGTGACTGAGGTTACCCGAGGACGCAAACAGATCCAGTCTCTGAAACTTTGTGTTCTCTTGAATACCAGAAGCTGGGCAGAGTCAAAGAATTTAGTAATCTATTGCAACTGGTCACCGTCTTTACCTAAATTTACCGTTTATTTAATTGCTTTATTATTCCTAAATATAGCTTTTGAAGTTCCCGGTCAAATTTTCCATGAATTTGCTAATATATGCCCCAATTATGTGCCTTCTTTGAGTTCTTAATTCGCGCTAATTACTAAGCCTAGTTCATTTATCTGATTTGTTCAACCAGATAATACAATGAATCATAAACGTCAGATATCCATTTACCATAGGGACTTTTTTGTTGAAACACGCAAAGTTAACGTTATTAAACAAAATTGCTATTAGGCCAATGGAGAAGCATTACAGAACTGAGTATCGATGTGGAGGTCTTCTAATATCAGCGACTCATAAGGCTGAGTAGAGTGTACTGCCGCGCTGCATGATTTAAGGTGCAATTAACTTTCGGTGACTGGGTCTTCCACTTGTGTACATGCGAAAGCGGCACATTGGAATATGACAAACCACAGTTCACTTTATTACGCGCTCTTTAGACAAGATATGTAGAATTAATGTACAGTGGGAATGTAACGTTGATATCTCAGTTATGGTCCCTGCTTTACATGAAACCCACACACTAAGAAAAAGGAAAGTAGTTCATATCATAAAATATGTTTCATTAAGAACCAACGACACGAAGTCAACAGCCGCTTAGCTGGTCAGAATATTCCCCGACTCTCATGGAACCCGACGGTTCATTACCATGAGGACTGCGTTCCTCGCGGCGGTGAGGATGATGATTATGACGTTATTCTGGGCTGTGATGCCCACCCTTGTGAGCAACAAGACGACTTCTGGATGTGACTGTACAACCTCAGAGAGCGCAGCTCACTCCTTCCCCCCTCCCGTACCCCCTTATCGGTAGCTCGTGTAAATTAATTTCATTAATTAAAGCTTCCCCGCTCCTCACAAAATTAAGTGGCGTGGCCCGACACTATTGTTATTATTAGTGTGTACAGGGCTTTTAATTATTTTGTGTGATATCTTTATGATTGGTCTTGTTTGGAATTTAATTCCGCCGCGTCTTGCAGCCACGGCGCAAGGGATGCCCAAAAGAATAAAGCTTACCAAAATATAAAGTACACTAAAGCTGTCCCAATACACGTCACGTAGGCGCTTAGGCGGAGAGAGGGTATTTCTTAACCACGACACTAGATAGGGGTAAGTGGTCAGCGTCACGCTCCGACCCCACTTTACCTCCCGAGAGGGGGCTCGATGGGCTCCAGAGCTGGTCTGGACGAAGAGGGTAGAGAAAAAATCCTCTGCCCCTGTTAAGGATCGAACCGCGGTCACTCTACTTAATGTGCTAACCCCGGTTCCTCGTCTTGTTAAAATGTACAAAAAATAAATTAAAAAAGCATATTCTGTAAAACATCTATTGATCTTGGTGAACATTCGTGTTCCATACAACAAACGTTTATCACAGCGGTACGACTTTGTTGCTAAAACCTCGTTTGTGTAACACAGGAGAATATGCATAATACAAAGTTGGGGGAGAAAATCAAGACAGAAATACAGAAAATGAATCATAAACGTATTTACATGTTTAGCCTGCTAATTCACTACTTAAGTCATTCCATCCACAGTTGTTTATTTGTAAGTGGTTTCGTTGATGGAGTAATTAATCTGTGAGTAAATAAATTAGTTACTTTTTACTGGTTATTGACTCAACTAAATATTATTTAAAACAGGGTTCTTACATCCAAAACCTCACTGTGACGCTACAGATGTACGTATTTTAATTACCCTTTTGAGAACCAAATAAAACCTACAAATAAGCCCTGAGAAAGACATGCACACATATGAATGTTGAAGCAGATGGCAAATAAAGTTACATTAACCTACATAGGGCAAAAGTGTATGTACCTCTCTCACATGAAAGTACAGTAGCCGAAATTTACTACGTATACCAAAGACATTACCGATATATGAACTGAAACAGCGACCTACAAATTACTACCGCATGAAAATAATGTTCACAAGATCGGACAAAACATGCTTCTGTGACTGCTACTCCCTCCCTCCGCTCTGATCACATTTCCTTTCACTTGTAACAGACGTAGAACGCACAGATTCGTCCCAACTACTGAGATTCAGTCCACTGGCAGGAATAGTGCGTCGAAGTTTCTTTCTTTGTCCTCGCTAGATAATGCGGCCGACCGTTTTGATTGCAGACTTCATGGTTTATCTCTTCCCGAATGATGGCGATGTCTGCTAGTGACATCTACGATCGTATTAGATCGTTTATAAACAACAGGAGGTCATGATGCGATAAGCAGCGACAAATATTTGACCTTGGTGGCAGGCAGTGCGACAATGTGTGCATAAAACGAGGTTCGCTCTGCTACATCAAAGTTTACGTAAATTTTGAGCGAAAGCAAATCCTGTAGTGTAACGTCTCTGAGAAATAGAGGCACGAGGTTTCACAAACTAACGGTGTGTCTGAGACTGAGGTCTCACGGCAGTTAATATGTCAATTGTGGACCTTTTGGTCGTGACGTCCTGTAGTCTTTTACTTATCACATTTACGAAGAAAGGTGTCGCTTCCATCTTCAGGGTTGAAGTAAATTATGTGCACTATGAAGCGTGTAATGAAGACAGTCATCTTCACTAATAATTGTTTTATAATTTGTATATACGACTGTTAGGTTCATGTAAGTAACTTTTATGTAGGATTTGAGGTTTTCACGGCGGTGAGTCAGAAGATTGCTGTCTTCTGGGTTGTTGCGCCGTGTAGTCTGATAGAAGTTTACCGACGTCACTCATCGCCCAGATCATGGAGACAGCAGGGTGCTCTGAAAATGTCGGTAAACTTCTACCAGACTACACGGCGCAACAACCCAGAAGACAGCCATCTTCAAGTAACATTTAAATAACAAACACATTCAAAGCTGGAAATAGGTGTTTGGCGTTAAAAGGTTCGAGATTTGTTAGAAAAAAACGCGCAAAGCCGTTGGAGCTCCCTCTAACGGCCTTCATGGTGTTAACAAGGGTAAAACTGTGAAACTTTCAGGTTTTCACAGCGAGTAAGAAGATGACTTGTCGTTTTGGATAAGCCCCGACAGTACGCAACTCTGAAATTTTGGCCAATTTCTACCAGATTACACGGCGTAACATCATAATAGACGGCTATCTTCAAGGCTAAGGTGCACATTCTACAGTTTTTGTACCATAAACGGCGTGTCTTAGGTAACAAATTAATTTAAGGTGTATACTAAGTTTTATTCATCTCTAGATTAAAAATATCAGGTATAAAATAAACAAGAAGCCTATGTACTTTTTACAGCGGTGCTTAAAAAAACGCAAAATATGCGCACTTAGACACCTCGACGGAAAAGAAAACGCAGAGTGGAGTACAAGAATATGCATGTATTATAATTTAACAGCTGTCACACAGAAAGCTGCCATCTCCTTCCCGACCTCATGCCACCATTCCATACAGCTTCCGTACCGGACCAAGTTACCATCGAATGTCTCTGTGCATCCTACACTCCCCTGCCACTCGTACCACGAGATTGGAAATGCTTCCCCTGCACGCGGATCGTTTACTTTCTGGAGTTTAACATTTTTTAAAATACGATCACAAATACAATCCTGCACTGTCTAAATATGCACGTACAATGTTTTAATAAAACTTAATGTTACATAAAACGCCCAACAAGAACTGAAATCACACATAAACAGTTCATTTTCACATCACCATTGAAAGAACACATTTTTCTCTTCTACATCACAGTCCAAGGAGAATGGACATCACAGTCAGAATTGCTTCGTATAGAAACTTCGGGTGGGACGAACTCTTACGAAGATTAACGAAACTACGGAAGCAATACTTCCATTGTTTCCATGCACGGTACGCCACTGCTCTGACCCACTACCGTCCCTGGATTTGTCACAAACCAATTATCTACTTCTTGTTAGTACGCGTCATTCAGAGGACCAAAAGAAATCTCACGTCTAAGGGTTGCTATTTGTAGCTCGCGTGGGACGGCGAGAACAGAAGAGAAATGTAGTTTTCTCTGCAAAATACATCAGTGGCTGGAGCGCAATGTAAAACATAGTTGTCCAGTATCAGCAGAACAGGACATGTCGTGAAAAGTGTTGTAACAATTCAGAAAATATTTGAATTCATGAAACCAGACCAGACCCAGTGACCAATGTTTCGATGCCTGTAAGAACGTTCTTTTATAAAAGGCCAGAGTATATCCGCTTGCTTATAAAAATTAAGACTGGCGGTACATAAAATCAGGGCGCTCTCATGCAACACGCTGAAGGCGCTATGAGGCAAAGATTAGAAGTCTTAATTATATAATTAAGGCCATTTTAAAATAAATTTGATAACGCTAACTGTAATGTTTTGATTTTATTGGTGAAAAAATGTAACCAACAAAATGTTCTTCCCTGCCATAATTTGATTTTATACTTACATATCCTATTTTCTCATCAGTTCATTTTTATTTTTCTGCTTCAACGGGACCATCCCTACTTCACCCCGAAGATTCAAGTCAGTCTCCAATGCAGAAATGAATCTTGATGTCGCGGGACACTGCAGGAAATTTAGATGCACGATTTCATTAACTAACACTAAAGAGACTTACGATTAGAATAGAATCAGTGACAGATTTAACATTGTGAAAAGATTAGCGGGCATGGACTGTCTCCTTTTCTCTAAGCAGTAAAGTCTGACACTACAGGCACCAGAACAGTGCTAGTGTGTACTAGAAGTTTAAACTACGAAAGTGGAAAAGAGATATTTGAAAAGTAATTTTAGGAGAAAAGCAATCTTGATAACAATAATCCAACTAATAACAACTAGGACTGACATCTCCCCGCATCTCGCTGCCAATAGCTCAAAATCTGTCTCGCTCATCCTTACCCCCTTTCCACTACGTAATTTGACGTACGAAAACTACAGCCTGACCTCCAAAACAATACGATTCTCAGCTGTTGCTTAATTGATCAAGACTTACCAGGAGAGTGTTGCCACCAAGCAGGTGAGCATGTAATTACTTTCCCCTCTTTGTTATGAAAAAAACTTGGACTAAACTCCTACCTTCCCGGACGTTAATTACAGCGTTCCCCGACATATTGCACTACTGCTGCTAAGACACTACTTCAAAGGCGACCATACACGCCGCCACATCTGGACAAAAGTGGCGCAAAGGCATGGCACCAGTTGAGACATTTTCATACTTCTGCAAAACCGGTAGCAAAAAAAAAAAAACAGACCCATGATATCAGTGGAGTGCGGACATACAAACAGTGGCGGGTCACGCAAAATAGAGAAAGCTCGCCTTCTCTGTAGATGAGCGATGAAATATTACACGACACCACAGATGATAAACGTACCAAGTCCTGAAGGCATACGAAAGGCAACAAGGTCTTATCCGTAGACAATGCAGGTCATTTCGAACAGCAATTTGCGGAAGTAACTAATAAAATAAAAATGCTACGTAGCTAACAAGATAATCGAATTGCATTGTTTCATTTAATCAGCGACATTTTCTGCAATATAACCGTAAAATTTGAGAATCGGGCCCATGTTAGGCCTCGCCTTACCACACAAATATATATATATATGGAGAAATGTGAATATAATTTATTCTCCTGTTACATATTAATTTTCTCTTTTCGTCTTCTTCTTCTTCTTCTTCAAGCACGTTTTTGGTTTCTTTCCCAACGAATCTCCACCCTCCTTAGACGTACTTGTTAAAAATATTATTTCGTATGTTTTCTCAGCATCATGAAACAGTTCTTTCTGTAGTTTTACATCTTGCTTCCTTATTTGTCTTGTTCAAGTAAAATTATCCATTATGTTGCTTGTGTATTTTGGTATTTGTTTACTTCTAAGCCTTGTTTCCTTGTGCCACTCTAGCATGCACCTGTTGGCATTCTTGCGATGTGCCGATACGGGGCTCACATTCCGAGAGCACCGCAGTGTTCTTGTACTCCTGGTGGTTTGTGAAGGGCGGAGGCAACTTAAGTCTGCACACCGATTCCAGACTTAGCTGCGGCCACCACAGCATCCACTGCTTGCTTTTCCCTCAACGCCAAACCCGGCCACCCGACACGCGATATGAGTGCATTATCGGCTGGGTCGTGTCTGCTCCTGCCAACGCATTCAAGCCATGGGTTTAAAAACATTCTCTTATTCATCATTTCAGCTTCGTTACGTTGTTTCCGTTCAAAGTGTATATATATATATATATATATGTCTCTTCTGTAGACTTACTTTATGGTGTAGCCTAGATATTTAATGTAAAACGCGTGGAGATAAGAAATGACTATAAAATTTTAGTCGGAAGACACAGCGAAGAAATTTTTCATCGGAATAAGACGCACTCAGTTATTTGTTACAACCCGACAATTTTCGAACTTCTAAAAATGATCCCTCCGGGATTATTATAATGATAGCATCCAACAACAGACTGTAAAACTATAATATTAAAACGGGTATATTAAAACATTTTAAATTTAGCACTGGTTAACATGGTAAAGACGACCCTATTCAGTAGTTTCTACTGTTAGCATTTATCACAGTTATTCAGTCAAAATTCCTGTATATATATATATATATTAACCAATTAATGATCCTTATTGTTACTTTAGTTATGACCATCCACATAATGTTCATGTTGCTGGAACGTTACATACAAAGAATTTTATCCGAAAGGCCTAATTACAACCAAATAAACCACCAGAAGCCGCCTCTGAATACAGTAGTAATCACGATAATCTCCCATATGAGCTGTGTGACGAGACAACTTTCCTGACAAAACGATACTAGAGACATCTATGAATGAAGATGTAGCCACCTCCGGCCGGTCACAGTGCATTTGGGAGATTGCAGGTTTCATTCACGGTTCTGAGGTCGGCAATTGTGTCTGTCCACTGTAGAGCCAGGAGCGAGCTGTGGTAGAACATTCATCTTGACCTCGATCTCTTCCTTCCACATATAAATTTATAATTCACTACCATTTTGTGATTCCACACTATTTTAAACAAGTTCGGAAGCTGGCTTCCGTACAAGAATGCACATAATATTCTTATGCGAACTTTGTGACGTGCATTTAGAGATATCAAATCCAACTTGTTCGATAGTTCCGACTTTGACCATCAGGTCACAGCATCTCAATATCTATCTCACGAATTTCTTCATCCGTAATTTTGTTGTCGACTCTCGTAGGATATTCAAATGTACGATTTTAATGTCGTGCAGAATAGCACAATGTCCACATCAAATTTCATCCAAATCCGTCCAGTGGTTCTCGAGTTGAATCGACTGGAGAGACAGATCAGCCCATAATGCGTTCTCGCTATTCACTTCGTGCAAACAACGCACAAAAACCCTCGTTAAATAAACTAATAAGAAAAAAGTTTAAACGACTTTCGCTATTCTTCATGTAATTCGTCTGTTACAGTATAGTCGGCTCAGTAGTTTTTGGCCGGTGGAGCTGGCGGACGGGCCTACTCTGTGTACCTGAGGTGGCACGGTCAGTGTATTTCTTTTGTTTGGGCGTTCAGTCAGACAAGCTCCTCGGTGCAGTCAGTGACTCGCTCCTAGCCTTCCCCTTGAAAATTCCAAGCTGGCGGACGGGCCTACTCTGTGTACCTGAGGTGGCACGGTCAGTGTATTTCTTTTGTTTGGGCGTTCAGTCAGACAAGCTCCTCGGTGCAGTCAGTGACTCGCTCCTAGCCTTCCCCTTGAAAATTCCAAGCTGGCGGACGGGCCTACTCTGTGTACCTGAGGTGGCACGGTCAGTGTATTTCTTTTGTTTGGGCGTTCAGTCAGACAAGCTCCTCGGTGCAGTCAGCATTATACCATCGCACAAGTGACTCGCTCCTAGCCTTCCCCTTGAATATTCCACCGGCCAAAAACTACTGCGCCGACTATACCACACATTTCCAAGAGTACACAGACATTTTTCGTATTTTACTTAGACAGACTATACACGAAGTTACAAAGAAAGAAATATCACACAGAATATCTAACAGAAATGCCGAGTGTTAGACTGTTCTAATCCATGCGATAAGAGTGTTGCACGGCCTAAGATACGTACCGACTTGAACAACTCAAAGGCTGGGATCGCGGGTTGTAATATGTTGATATGTCCAAGTTTGTTTGTATTCTCTTACGTATGGAAAAGTATTTAGATGCATCGTAAAGTAGACTAATCTGAACATCTGAAACCGTAGTTAAACTAGCCATGAATAAAGAGACAAGTGCAAACAGAGGCCCGCGAACCTTAAATTGTGTATCTATGACAACATCCATGGGTAATATTAAACAGATTCTTGAGAGATGCCTTAAAGTCTGAACAGACAATCGTGTGTAAACTTCACAACCAGAAACTAGGCTACATCTGGTGGGCGCCTTCGGCATTTGGCTACAAATGATCAACTTTTTAGCTCCTATAAACAAATTCTTCAGTCATTTTAATTTTATTTCTCTTTTATTCTCTCTCCACCCCTTCTATTTCTGCATCCACTGCAGGCAAATTCATACCTTCTTTTTACTTTTTCAACCCCATTTCCAACCCTCATTTTCATTAACGCAATCAATTTCCACTATAAAACAAGACAGAGAGGAAGAAAAAATGAAGACCATCGCTCGCAAATGTTGGTAGGGAAATTACAAATGTAATCGCATGAGAATTAAATCGAAATTATCTCGAAAAAGGAAATGGATGCGAAGCAAACAGATTGACATTAATTTTAAAGAGTTTTTTCTTCTGTTCCCTTTTCATCCTTTCTTTTTTCAGGGGGCTCTTCCTAAGGGGTGGGGAAATGTTTTCCAGGAGGTGGTTACAGACTGCAGGGAGAAAGCTTCCTTTTAAATAAGTGCTGTCATTTGTCAGTGTGAAACTGTTCGAGTGAGATTAGCCACTTCACTGCATGAAGGATCTCAGGGGCTGTTGCTGCTACGTGATTAAGATGGCACTGCAGAATGAAGTGGGCCATCAAGTAACTGTGCTTCAAGAAACTCTGTCCACTAATCGTACTGGCAGTGAAACATAAATAAAGCCACCACGTGTATGTCATAGCTGCGTTTATAAAGACAGGTAAAAAAATTCATGGATAATTTATCCTTGCAAATGGACAGTTACGTCAGAGTTGACTTGGTTAGACCTTCACGTGAGCGAGGTGCCTGACTGGGCGACCTCATCACGGGAGATTCCCCAGTGTTGTTACGCATCTGATTGGGGATTCCCCACCCAGTAATTTCCGCGCGCATGAACGCAAGTTGGCCTACGTGTAAAGTGTCCGTTATTGATGTCCGATTTTGAATGAAATTGGAATAAGTCAACAAATTTTACATCACACCTCTGATAAAAACTTTCATAAACATTCCTTTGTCTGTTTTAAGGTTGTTACATGCGGATGGCCTGCAGACAAACATTGGGAAGGTATTTATCGTGATCGCAAGCAGATAAATAATATTTCATGTAAATATTATACTGTATATAATAAGATCAATCATTCGATGTGTAACAGTACATAGGTTTATTTACTGTGTATATTATATAGAAAAGAAGCAGGCAAACA